CTCAGCAGCGGTGCATGTATAAGCTCCGCTTATAGTATGAAGCCTAATTGATAGCTACATATGTAGGTATTTGAGACTTTTTAGAAGTCAATGTGATGTAATCCAAGTAAAACAGAGTCTTGTAAAATGACTTTACTTCAAATTTTGCTCTATTTGAAGTTTTGTTCAAATCATTTGCAGATTCGGCTCCAACTAATGTGAAATCAATCTAGCAAAAATAAGTTGGAAAATGAATCATGCGGGAGGGTTTTTCCTCGAAAAACTAGTGAGATGTTGTATTCGGAAACAACCGCTTATTTAACATGAAAGAGAGAAAAGAATATTATCACTATAGTAAAAACTCCGATTTGTTTGTTTTCTCAAAACTAGCCTTACCTTGCAATTTTTCATTATGTGAACACATCTCGCATTTATTAAGTGCATAGTGTAGTCGGTGCATAGCGTCTTCAAATCTCTTCTTTCTAAAAAAACCAAAAAATAATAATATCGAAAAATTTGTGTAGAATGTTTGATTCTAACCTGAAAAGAATACCAGCATCGTCGAGCAGTTTAGACAGTAGTACAAAAAGTGCTTCAGGGTATGTATCAATCGCTGTCTGCCATGTTGAGGACCGTAGACGAGCACCTCTGAAACGATCGATAATCGATTCTCGATAAACTATTGATCGACAAAGGAGACAAACCTTCCTAATAGAGCTTCTAAAGCGGGTTTATTTCGCTGTTGAATGGCTATTTGCACAGGGTAAAGACCATCACTGTCAGGTTCTTCAAACAACATGCCTGCTTCAAGTAGTCGATCAATTATTGATCGGGATGCTACAGCGCAGGCAATATGGGCTAGGCCTTTGCCTAAAAGATGTCCAGCTAAGGTGATAAAGGAAAATTTGGAAAAAAAGATTACTCTCAAATCAATTAAGCAATGAAGTGCCCAATCTAACTTAAACTAACCTGTTTTGTCTTTTCCGGAAATATCTGCGTTTCTATCCAACAGCAACTGAACTGATGGAAGATGATTCTTATGTACTGCGTGCATAAGTGCAGTCCATCCGTGCTCATCCTTCTGATTGAGATTAGCCCCTAAATGAAGAGCCCTATTACTTAGGTTCGAAATAAAAGCTGAAAATAACGTACCTTTGTTCACCAACATATCAATTAATCCCACATGTGCACAACGTGCAGCAGTTATAATTGGTGTTCTGCCTAGTGCATCTCTGCATTCGATATCACAATTGGGTAATCCAAGCACAGCAACAACGAGATCCCAACTACCACTTTCTACAGCACAGATAAGTGCTGGACGTTCTGGTGGCCATTGCATAGTGGATAGTGAGGCTCCTCTGAAAACAAATGATTGCATTGTGGCGAGAACTGGTCCCCAACCCCATCAACAAAGTGTTTTAAGGGTCTATAAGTGTTTTGAAGTTTGAAATAGCG